TGCAAGCTTTTATTTCCATTAAAACCAGACTGAGTCACCCAATTGCTGAGCCATCAGGGAATCTGTGTACACCAGCATTCTTACCAGTGAAGATAGTGGAGTGCCCAGTGTCTGTTGGTGATGGTTTCCCAAAATGCTGCTGACTTAGGTTTCATCTCTTCCCTGGGGCATCTTGGAAGTTCCCACCCTTCAAGGACCTCAGGCTGCCTTGATCTAGGCATGTTCTGCGTCAGCAGGGGCAGTAGCCATGACCATTTGACATTCAAAACCTGGAGGAGGCTGGAGGAGATTGCTTTAAGAGTGATTCTATGGACATGTGGCATCAGTAGCAGAGCTGGGAGTGGGGCCTGGACCCAGCAAAGCCCTTCTCCCTCTGTGATGTGGGGTTACTTGCTTTCGAAGATTGCATTCGCTGTAATACAGAGCCCCAGCTTTGACAGGCGGGGCAGAGAGGGGTCACAAATAGACCACAAGTGAGTGGCTCACTTAGCAGCAGGGAAGATATGCACATTGGTGCAGGAAACCATTCCACTAGAGGAGGGCATTGGATGAGTTTCCCATTTTCTGCCTGCTGTTGTTGCTTAATGTTCTATCAGTATCATTGCTTTGTCTCTTGGCTCTGTCTTATCCATAAAAAACAGTAGGTGATTTCCCTGGACTCAAATCAAGGAGGGCACCAAAGATGTTTAACCTGAGGCAACAGGTTCATAGAAGGGTCTCAGGTCTTTGGTATTTCCTGCTGCTTAGTTCAGGTGCAGCCCTGCTCAGGGTTGCTGATACACACAAGGCCACTGACTTTCTGCCTAGTGGGTAGTGTAGGCAAGTGCTGCAGATGGTTTGAAAAATCCCTTCTAGGATTTGAGGAACTGGCATGGCAATGCCTCAGTCCTTTTATGGGTCTGATCCAAGTAACCTGACAAAAGTCACATAAGGAAGCAGGTAGCTTGCTAAATCACATGCTCTTGAATCAGCTTTGCACCTGAAAATTACTTCCAGCTGCTGCTGTTAAAAACCCTGAATTCTTCACAAAGGATTGCATTGGTAGCATTGCACCCCCATTATTTTGTTCAGAATTAAATTGCTGTTTGCATACTGAAATTAATGGTCAGCTCTGTGTAAAGTTCCAATTTCATTGCTCTTCTCTAAGTGGGATACAGTTTGCTTAACGTCCCCTACCCCGAACTTTCTCTGCTAGGGCTCAGGTAGATAAGTTTGCATTAAAGAGCAAAACTTAACTGCAAAACCATTTAAAATTTATTTAAATGATTACTGAAATAATACATGGTGACTCTAGAAAGCCACCTTGATGGCTGAAGCCCTGTCTTCCTGCACACTGTATAATATCTTCATCCTGGATAGCCTTTAATCTAAAAGAAAAGGGTCTATGGATATCTTTCATCTGGTTGCTGTAGCAGAGAGAAGCTGTCTGCAAACTGTCTTGTCAAGTTACCTTTAGTGAAAACCGTTTAAGTACCTCTGCACAGCTTGTTTTGACTCATCCTAAGATGAATCAGGACCTCACAGCTATTAGCTGAATAGGATGCTATTCAGACATGAGACCATATATCTATGCAGCTGCAGTCTCCATCGATTGAAATTAAAGTCTAGAGTTCTTTGTTTCTTTTGTGGAATATCAAGAAAACACCAATAGAAACCATTCCTGCCTAAAATTCACAGGAAAAGATTTCTTGTTCCATAAAACTGTCAGTAGTTTAACACAAAAAGGGATGCATTCTGTGTTGTAAATATTCATAACTGCTCTCTAGTGATTATTTACTGTTATTTCATTGTGCAGAATCGTTCAGCAGTGCTAGATTCCTCCATGGACCTGCCACCTGAAAGTTTAACTATTGAACTGGCAGTGAAATAGAATGCCAAGTATCTTCTTACAGATGAATGGTTTTCCTTCCTGAATTTCCTGACTAAAAACAGGACAACTGCTTTCCTTAATAATTTAAAAATTTCTCTTTAGACCAAACATGGAAAAGAAAAATTTGAAAAATAGACTCTTACCTGGAAATTACTATCATAAATCTTATAACAGAAGTCTCAATACGACCTTAGTGATGTGCTACCCAGGGAATTCTGTAAGACTGTTTACAGTTAGTGATAAAATCTATTCATGAAATATCCTCCAATGGAGAAAGAAAATCAACAGAAGGACATGCAAGACAGAAAAAAGAAAGTCTTATATTTGTTACAGTAGTCCTGGCAAAGACTGCCATAAACACTCCTAAATCATTTAATTCTCCGCCCTGTACTCTTTCATCTGACATGACTGTTCCTAGATTATAAAGCCAGAGGGACCATTAGATCATCTGGTTTGACCTCATGTGTGTTGCAGGCCATTAAAATTGTATTCATTACCCTTGTATTGATTCTAAGGACTTCTGCTTGGCTAAAGCTTGTGTTCCAGAGAAGGATGTGGTATTGATCTGAAGAAAACAAAAGACTGCGAATCCATCATTTCCACTATTATTAGTTTAAATATTATCCCATTGTCCCTATTAATTTTTTTCCTTATTTCTAATTGGATTTTTTTCTGATTTAAGTTTCAAGCCATTAGTTCCTGTTATACTTTCCTACCTTAAACTGCAAGGCCTTTCAAGTATTGCTTTTTCCCATGGCAATAATAAGCAGGTCAGCTCTCATTTTAACAGACTTCACTTCTCACTGAAAGCTATATTTTATTTTTATGGAGCAGACACTCTTTAGTGCCATCATACAGCACATACAGGACAGCCAGGGGGTCAGGCCCAGCCAGAATGGGTATATGAAAGGCAGGTCCTGTTTAACCAACTTGATCTAGTTCTATAACAAGTTAATCCTCATAGTGGATGTGGGGAAGGTTGCCGATATTGTCTACCTGGATTTTAGTAAAGCATCTAACACCATTTCCCACAGCATTCTCCTGAAGAATAGGGCTTCCCATGGCTTGGACGGGTGCTGTTTGCTGGGTAAAAAACTGGCTGGATGGCTAAGCTCAGGGAGTGGTGGTGAATGGAGATACATCCAGCTGGCAGGAATGTCACTAGTGGCATTCCCCAGGGCTCAGTGTTGGGATTGGTCCCATTTAACATTTTTGTTGATGAACTAGATGAGGGGATCAAGTGCACTCTCAATAAGCTGGCAGACAACACTTAATTGTGTGGGAGTGTTGATCTGCTGGAGGGCAGGAATGCTCTGCAGAGGGATCTGGACAGGCAAGATCCATGGGCAGAGGCCAGCTGTCTGAAGTCCAACAAGGCCAAATGCCAGCTCCTGCCCTTGGATCACAGTGCAGTGCTACAGGCTTGGGGCAGAGTGACTGGAAAGTGGCCTGGTGGAAAAGACCATGGGAGTGCTGCTGACAGAAATTGAACATGAGCCAGCCTGTGCCCAGGTGGCCAAGAAGGCCAATGGCATCCTGGCCTGGATCAGCAATAGTGTGGCCAGCAGGACCTGGGCAGGGATTGTGTCCCTGTACTTGGCACTGGTGAGGCCACACCTTGAGTCCTGTGTCCAGTTCTGGGCCCTTCACTCCATGAGAGACATTGAGGTGCTGGAGCGTGTCCAGAGAGCACCAATGAAGCTGGTGAAGGGTCTGGAGGACAAATACTGTGAGGAATGGCTGAGGGAGCTGGGGTTGTTTTCCCTGGAGCAAGGAGGCTCAGGGGAGATCTTTATCATTCTTCTCATAAAGCAATCCTTATCTCCTGTGTGATAACCCTCCTCGCCTCTGAATTTTATTGGTCTTTAGTTTTTGTCCTTGTTTGAAGTTTGTACATGCAACATACTGCCACAGCTGTCCTTTCACAGTATGTTTTGAAGGCTTGTTGCTTCGAAAGCATCAGCAAAAACTGTCACTGGACTCAGTGCCCATCAACTTGCTATGGAAAGGAGAGCAGTTCCTACTGGTCCTTCATGTTATATATGTGCCATGCCCAAACAAAACTGCCTGGCTGGTGCCAGCTTCTATAAAACAGGGCTACGAACACAGATGAAGAAAACCACTTAACAGCAGAAAATAAAAAAGGGGAAAATCTCTGCTGCCAGTAGGACTGAAGAAGCTCTTAGACATTGATAAGGAATTGATAAGATCCAAACTTGAAGCTAAGGAGCATGTTGGGCAGATTTCAGCATCTAAAATAGAAAGTTGTCACCACAACAGCATCTTGTGATCACCAAACATCCAGGCTGGCTACCAAACCTCAGAAGTCAGCTCTTCTGCAGGAGATATGGGGTTTTCACTTGAGCAGTTCCTGCTGCCTGGGAAGATACTAGGCTGCAGCCAGAGCTGAAACTGGGATACTTACCCCATCACCATCAGCTGTAGTTACTGTCAATAGCTAGCTCTAAACTTGATACAAACATATTTGCATGGCCAGCATTTGCTCTGTGGGGTTGGGAGTGATAATACACCATTTAGGCACTGGGGGCTGTCAGTGCCAACTTACAGGTCCCTGACTCTCAGAGTGCTGGTCACATTCAGCTTCTGTAGTGCTAGATGCCACACTGAAATGTAAACACACATGCACAGTGGGAAGTCCTTTTCACCCACACAGAGGAGATGATGAGGACAAGACTGAGCCCTGAAGCACAGCTTTGTGCAAGTCTCTGTCCTGTATGACAGAACTTGGTGCAGCAATCTTCAGAGCAACCAAATTTTGGGGTGAAGTCTTGAACTCAAAGTGTACATTGTACAGATGTTCTGGTGACTGCGTGTCACATTATCTGGAGATTTTGGTTTCAGAAGTTTATTGTCTGGATGTTGAACCTGAGCTGGTGCCCCCTGACCCTGCACTCATGCTAATAAGCCCTCAGGATAACAAACCCTCCTCACTTCCATCATGGCCAAAGTAGTATTTAGAACTGCTGTTGCTTATATCACTTTACTTTTTTCTGTGCCCCTACTCTCTCCTTTTACCCCAAGGCCATTAACCAGTTTGCTTGGAGCTGCCCTAGATCTGCTGTTTTATAGGCAGTGATATCTCTGCTGTTTTTCCATATTTTATTTCTTAGAGTTCTGAGCAAAGAGAGCTCCGTGGTTCTTCAGGGGACTAATTGCAATCTGGCAGAGCAGCCGTGTTTACTAGCTGGACTACTTCCACACAGAAGCATTGTTTCCAGGCTCTAGTGTGGAGCAATACAGATGTACTCATCTAGGGCTCTCCCTGGGGTAATAAACTAGCACTAAGCTGCTTCTGCACAGAGCCATATGATGTGTCTCCAGCTGTGGTGAGGTCAGTCTGGAAACCAGATAAATTGCCAATAAGAAACAGAGCAGAGCTGACTATATATCTGAACTCTTGTACAACTGTGTTTTTAAAAATAATGACACTTAAAGAAAGCAATGGTCCAGTATTACATTTGATAGATAGTAGGGGCTTATTTGAGCTGCAAAGGAATGAAGATATTAAGCACCTTCCAGAAGCAGACTCTAAATCTCTTGGTATTTGCAAGGATTTAGTATTACACTTACAATGCATTTCAAGGAAAATAGAAGTCTTATGCTTGGCACATGAAAGCTGTGATTTATCAAAATTTCTTCTCCAATATGAAAGGAAGCTCTTGGAGGTGAAATAAATCAAAATATCTGTTTGTAATGATCTTGTCAGGGCTAGAGGAGAGGATAGCATTGCCATCTTACATGTTTTGTAGTATATATTACAAAAGGTATCCTAGTGATTTCTCTAAATACATTTTCATTTCTCCAATGTTTGTAAGCCCAAAGTAATATTTTCCCCTTTCTTCTATGTATGTATATTTTGGCAGGGGTCAACCAATGCCATAAAATTAACAACAGAACCCCAGCTTAATAAGGTTTAAAATGCCAATAGAGAATGGAACTATGTGTCTCTGTTAAAAACCAAGTGCTATTCGATGCTCAAAACTTGCCCTATAAGCCCCACAAATCAGCTGGGGAACTGCTGGGAATTTGATGTATTTTAGGTCCTGACTTAACAACAGCTTATCAGTTGCAGTGTAAGGGATTGGATATGAAAGTAGTTTAGATCCCAGAAAGCCCATCTACCCTCTACACTGTTGGTCTTTTTGTTTCCCTTTTTACATTTCTTGCTTCAATACACTATAGAGAAAGTCACAGGAAAATACCCTCTTATCAACTGGTAAAATTTCCAAGAGGACTCTCTATTTTTTTTTTTAACTTAACCATCATGTGCTTAAGCTTGATATAGTTCATACAAAACAAATGGGAAATAAGATATTCTGCTGGAACCTTTGGAATGTGTTTTGAGTAGTGGTTTACTAGAAGGATTGTCAAACTCAGTTCTTTATATTCTTTTAGAAAAATACAAACAATACCTCTTTTTGAATCAGAGAGAACATTACCTTCCATCAAACATAACTCTGTCATATGCCCTGTAGGGAAGATGATAGTAAGAAATCAGAGGAAGGACAGAGAAGGAAATCACTTAGACTGGGTCTGGTCAGGCCTATTGGCTGCAATTAGCTTGTGTAAACACACTTAATATCCATTTTATTAAGGACTCCCATACACATACAATCTGTCGGTCACAGGAAGGATACCAGGTTCAGGAAGGTTACCTTGAGCAGAACTGTACATCATCCATGTTCCTTGGTAATTACAATTAGTGCTGGTGAGTATAGGAAAACACAGAGATAAATATGTCAGACTAAGCCAGAAGTGTGCCCTTAGCAGCCCTGTGACTCACAACTAGCAGGAACAAATATTTGAGGGAAGTACATCAAATCAGAATATACAGAAAGTGATCTTTTCCCTGATCATTTTTCCCGGGTCCAGTACTTCAAGGAACTTCCCGAGAAAGCCCTTGCATCTAGGCAGTCATGTTGAGCAGCCTGCACAATGCTGCTTTTGATCTCAGCTGCACTGTGGGCCACCTCAGTGTTCTGAAATGACAAGTTCCGCACTGTAATTACACAGTGGAATTACACAGTGTGGAAAGTACTTTGCTTTGAAATATGATGTCTGACTCAGTACAAAGGTTTTCTTTACATTAAGTTGTACCTTAAAACAGTAAAAATGAACAAATGAAAGGTCTGCTATGATATACCACTATAGTATTGATCTCCAAGTGTGTTAACACTGCTAGTTGACTTGCAGGTGTAAATCACATCTTTAAGTGACAGTGCTGTTCTTATTCCCAAAAGCCTTCTTGAGCATATGAATGAGATGCTGTGTTTGAGCTTTAGTGTGTGCAACCAGAGGCTTCTGGCTCCTTTGGGAATTCAGTTGCAGCATGAAATTGATCTCTTTCAGCTACTCTGGTTGAGCAGGTGAAAAGTGAAAATAATTATCAAGGCTCTGTTGGCCCTAGTAATTGAGTGAAACCTCTGAATATGCCTGCACTGCAGCTTGCTGACATAGTTTGCAATTGTCTGAAATGAGACAGTGCTCAAAATAAAGAACAGCACTGCTTTCCTCTTAAATGTCTGGAAAGCTGCAAAAACCAGGTAGTCTATCACATGCCTTTAAACACTACTTATTTTCAGTGAAAGCATTGACTGAATTGCTTATTCAAGATATCTAGTGCCCTCTTGACATATAGCTGGGGATGCCAATAATTGGGCTGAGTGTGGTGGCTTGTCTCTTTAGATGAAATACCAAGAACTGATTTTACTGATGCTGCCTACACTATGAAGGAAGAATGCTGTATCTGACCTAGATAATTGGCACCAAACATTGAATGGAAGCCACTCATACTATTTTTTATTTTTTTTGTCTGAATATCAAGGATGACTAAATTAAAGTTCAGGGCTCACTTTCATTGCTTGGTAAAAATTGTTAATAATCTAGTGCTTAAATCTTCTTACTCATTAAGGACTCAGAATAATTTCTAGAAAAGTCAGGAACTGATTTTTCAAATGATCAGTACAAATGGGAAACTTAAAGATGCTTAGGAGGGAGGAGGGCTGTTAAAGAACCACCTGTCCATACTCAACAAATATATTAGAAAATAATGAAAAAAATATTAGCATGTATATTCTGGTTCTGAGATTTACAAGGTTTGAAGTTTACGATGAGCTTTATTCCAGATTAGGCTTGATCATGCTTTTGTTGCTACATTAACAAAAAAAAATTACTAGAGCCAGTAAAGAGCCACTTGGTGCACTCACCTGAATGAAGTTAGAAGCTCACACTCTTGCCTGGGAGAGAAGGTTGTCATGGAATAAAGAAAAGACAAATCTGTCCCTGAAACCTGAACTTCTTGGCTTCCATGAAAGTATGATTAACAACCACTAGGACAGCTTGGTATCAAAAATCCAGGAGGTGTTTTTAGTCTTGCATTTCTAACCAGGTTACAAACATGGAAGGATGTTTCAGGCCCAGAGGAGAGACAGGATTTTCAGATCATCCTGCAATCAGATGGATTAGGCTTGACTCATTCTCTGCACATTGTACTGAATACCTAATTTTGTACTTTCTGCAAGAAGACTTTGGCTTTAGGAATTCTATATAGAGCTTGGAAATACCCTAATTAAATGTGAAATTGAGATCCAGATGGTGTTCAGGCATAGATGCTGAGTGTTCCCAGTTATGTTAAATCTGGATGTTCCTACATGTTTTAGAAAAATCACACAGCAAGGTGTGTAGAAAATTGTTGCTCCTAGGGCATAGGAAGAAAATGCTGGACACTGGAGGGAAATTCTGAGTGATTTGGAAGATAAAGTTGCATCCCACTGCCATCTCCAGTGAAGATTATTGGTTGCATTTAGTCCAAGAATAGCAGGCTTTCTCAAGCATTCAGATTATACAATAATGTGGCTTTTTGTACAAAATCACAGAACAAATGGGTCTACTGCCACTGGCTGGTGACTGGTGACATTGATTCAAGGTCAGAATCTTGTTATCATCACTAGAGATAAGCAGGAAGTATTTACAGGAATGAAATGTCCTTGCTCTGATTGAGACTTGATAACTTGTCTAGCTGAGAATGGAGAAATACCTCTTTTCTTGTGAAGAGGTTTGTATTCTCAGTCTCGCAAACATGTAGATGGATTTGTTAAAGTTGCTGCATTCCCCCCAAAATTAGGAAGCATGTTAAGTACAAATTATTCAGCATTTGTGTATACTTAGGCACATCAATCATAGATGTGCCTAATTGAAGGTCTCAGGGTTTTGCTTTTCTTACGTTGTCTGTGCAGGTGCAGTGTGATATAGAGTAGATTTTATTCATGAGGATGCTGATATTTAGAAGGACTGGCTGTCAGTCAGTATTGATTCTGGAAATATACTGTTGCTGGAATTAATTTGACAGAATAAGAGTTCTAAGTGTATACTTGTTGCTATACATTTGTCCTTCCTGACCATTTTTATAGGTGTGACACTGGCATCTGAAATGAAAAAAAAACATTTTAATAGTTCAGAGGTGAAAACAACAGTATGTAGAGGATGTGGTAAAAAATTCATAGGGCAGCCTTCTGTTTTCCAAGTAATTTCAATGAAAGTGCATTGACATACCATCTATTCACTGAACAAGGTAATTTAAACTGGAGTGTGAAAAACCCTAATAAACTGGGGGAAAGGACAGAAAGACATGCTTCAGCTACTGTTTCAAACCAGATTGTGAATATTCTATTCCTACAGAAAGATCCATGACTAGTGGATCCACCATGTGTCATGTAGGCAGAGGATAAATTCAGTGTGCTGTCAGCAATAACTGTGAGGACTTCAGTGTACACTCATATCTGCATCTTTCTCGTGCACTTGGTTTATACTGTCATCAGATTTGAGGTTAGAGAGGCTGTTGGTGTTTTTGTCCTCTACTGCAGCATGGGGTGTTGTTCTCCCAGTGATTTTTCCAGACATTTCCTGCTCGATAACTTCTCTCCGTGTTGTGGATTCCAATGTTCTGTACTCATAGCATGCCCATGACACACCTTTTGAGATTGACAAGGACATGACAGGAAAATAAAATGGAGCTGGAAAGGAAGTTAGATTATTTATTAGATATGTAATGTGACTGTGCTTGAGGGTACAGTGATTCTTCTTGCTGCTCATTCTGGTCTGTCTGCCCCCTGCCTTTCTGGAGGTCACTGCCAGCTGAGGTGTTTGCCTGACTGCTCTTTAAATATCTGGAATGATTTGGCTTAATGAAAGACATACATACACACACACACACACACACACACACACACACAGACTCAAATCCAGGTTATTGCAATCTCATACTTTCTTTAGCAGATATGCTGGTTTAGGAGTTCTTATCCCTGGGTGCAAAAAGATTCCTTCTGACCCCAAGGAATTGCCTGGCCTAGTTCCCAACACAGGCTCAGAAGTGCTTGGCACTGTGGTGACGGATGAAGTATCTGAAGATCAGAAGAGAGAAGCAGGACCTTCCTGGGACAGGATTGCCTCTTACAGAAGGGCACAGGCAGCCCAAGGACAGGCCTGTCCCATGGGGGTGTTTTCCACCTTCCAAAGGGCTGATGATTCTTCCATAGTTCTCCTCTCCTTCCCATCTCCATTAATGCCTATTTTTGGCATTTTAAAAAATTTGGATCCGTTTTTAATCTGGATCATTCTAGTGATATGGTTTGAGCATGATATGCTAAGGAGTTGCCTCAGCATAACACTGGAAAGGGTGAAAGAAATAATTCCTGGAGTCCAGAAAGGAGAGGCAAGGAGAGGAAAACTCTTCTAAATTGGCTTTGCAGCAGAAGAAAAAACTATAGTGTTCCAACTATCTCCTACAGAAAAAGCAGTAGCATTTTGTTTCTACAAGAACTATCTTAGAGGGGCTTCTCTCTTCAATTGGCTCTTCTGAGCAAGGTGCAGACTTCTGTGGGGCATGGGGATGAGGGACCAGCTGAGTCTGGAAGATGTGACTCACCCAACCACTCCAAAGACACAGCCACAACAAAAACCCCAACATTTCTCCGTAGCAAACTACATCTCTCATGTGTCTTCAATAGTCTGATACAGCTGATATTGGTATATACAAAACTCTTATAAACATGAAGGAGATTTGGCCTTTTCATGCAGCTTCTTGTACAGCTCAGACAAGCACAGAGCTGTCTGAAAGGATCTGCAGATGTTGTGTTAGAGAGGAGTCCTGAGGCACTGAGAGCTGTAACAGAGCACCCTTTCCTGCACGATGGGCTGAAGACAAGACTGAATGTGTAGGAAGAAGTGGCAGTGTTGGTATTACAAGCCTTTTATAGACAATTTCTATAAAGAAAAAAATGCTTCTCCACATCTTAGCTATTGTAAAATGCAGACTTGGCAGAATTTTTTATCTTGGCTCTAGTATGTCGAATTTATGGGTTTGATTCAGCAACACCTTGAAATTTTATGGCCTGGGGGTTTTGGTTTTTTGTTTTTTGTTTTTTTTTTTGTTTGTTTTCAAGCAAAGGAGGTCAAACTAAATGAACAAAACTGTGCTTTCTGGCTGGAGTATATGAAAGATCCATTCACTCTTATTCATGTTCTCCTTTATAGTTACAAGGCATAAACTAGCTACCATTGCAAACCTTATTAAAAGAGGAAGGGCTCTCAGAACTGGTTTTGTTTCCTGTTAACTATCTGTTGTTCTACAACTTTCAGTTGTAAATGAAATGCAGCATTAAAACTGTCCAATATTAACATAAATACGTTTTGGACAAAGTAGATAGTGTTATACCATGTACCAGATTAAAAATGCATGTAAGCTTTAAAGCCAAACATATCTCTCAGGTGTTGGAAGATTTAATGGCTTTGAAAATTTAAATTTGCTTAAATTCCAGACAGTCTCAAGTTCTTCAGACTCCAAAGGCAGCCATTTGAAACCAAACTGATCAGGTCATTGTTCTAGTCAGATGTGCTAAAACAACCCTTACCAGTGGAGGCTGCATGGAAATTCATATCCAGTAGATGGATTTCAGGTCTTGACTTTGACCCTTCCTATTTCTAAAGTCTGGAAGTTTTCAAACCACTCAAGAATAACAGTTTGCAGTAAAATCTTTTGGTTTGGCCCTTTCAGAAAGAGAGTGCCATGTAGCTGCCACATGAGTCTGTGGAAGGGTGACTATTAAGGCTATTAAATGATGTCTAATTAGATCACATAGTATTTGAAGGGCGTGTCTATAGAAGAGAATTTAAACCCCAACTATCATCCTAATAATTATTGAGGAGCTGTGTCTGGGGACAGAAGAGCTATGGGCTCTGTCACTGCTTTGATGTGTGACACAGAGCTGGTCACTGCAGTGTGCTATGCGTCAGTCTCTCTCCCCAAAGCAGGGAGGAAGATGCTGATCTTGGTAAAGCTATTTATGAAAATAGGAAGATATTAATACTTATTTATGCAATGTCCTAGTTATGCAATCTGCTTCAGGTCAAATGTGGATATCTTGGAATAAAATCTTCAATCTGTCAAGGGGAAATGTATATACAAAAGCTGCTGCAGAAGAGCTGACAGACCAGAACAACACCCTGAGCAGAAAGGCTCATACATATACTGCATACAGGTGCCTGCTAGCTGTTCAGGTCCTGGTAGGATGATACCTTTCTGCCTGAAAATAACTTGATTTTCATCTCTCAATTTTCTGGCACTTGTGTGGCAGTCACTTTGGAAGGGGCATCTGTCATTTCTTCCAGCAGTCTACAAGCCTGAGCTTGTTTTCACAGTCATCTGCTAGATGCTCTCAGCATGAGCAGTGTGTCACCTTCTGTTAAAGAGGAAGCAGGGAGGGAAGGAAAGAGAGACAAAGAAGGAATAATCAATTAACAAGGCAAAAGGCTAAAGGCAGAGAAAAATTAAGCAGGAAAGAAGAAGAGAACAAGGGGTTCCATAAAAAAGAAACAGGTGAAAAAGAGAGTAAGATTAGTGGAGGGAAGATAATGATTGGTGTTATGCACTTAAAAAGGCAAAGCATGCTTGTTCACAAGGCCTTGTGCTTTTTGTTCTCATGGAATAGTGGCAGTTGGAGTTAGGCAATGAGATCTATTCCCAGGGAAGATCCCCCCAAAAGTGCTGACCTGCTTCTAGCTGAATCACTGTTAACATCACACAACTAATGAGACTGTAAACATCACACAACTAATAAAAGCAGTGCCATTGCAGTTTCCAGGGCAGCAGCAACTCCCTGTGCTCAGGAAGTCCCACCATCTCTCATCTGTTACTCAGGGGTGTACATGGGGGAGAAATGTGGTCCACACTAGTCTGGAGCAGGGATAGGGATCAGTGCCAAGGCAACTGAGCACACTTTAAGGAGATAGATGAGCAGGTTTCTCTGAAAAAGTATGGGCCATTCTTCAAGCTCATCAAATAGACTTCCATTTTAGCTCAGCTTCCAACAACATGATTTAGCTGATTTCTGATTTTTACCGTGTGTAAATCTTGTGTGAGTTGCTGGCTGTCAAAACTCTGGCTAGAGGTAGGACTAAGTCTATCAGATTACTGCTTTAGGAAAGAGCAGGCAGCTGAACATAGCTTCTCTCCTGAGCTTTTAAAAAGTGCCTCATGTCCATTTAGTCGTAGACTAAGACATATAACCCACACTCCTGAAAGTGACTTCATCTTTGTAAAGAATAATCATCTTTGTTCCAGTGGACTGTTTTGAGACATTATGCAAAGGGCAACCTAAACTAAACATATCTGCAGTTAATTGTAATTCCTTAAAAACACAGAAAATTGTTTTACAGCAAAAGATTGTGGGTTTAATGTGCTCTTCCACATACAGATCTTTGCTGCACTATAGTATTATAAAAGCTACTAATTGCATGTAAAGGGTTGTAGTAGAGGAAGGTGGGTGTCTGGAAGTGAGGAAAGATCCTGACTGTCCAGCCAGGAAGCAAACGTGTATATTTGGTTTTGTTTGCCAGGAATCATAACATCTTTAAGGCCCTGGATATGCCTGTGAGCACACACAGCACAGCAGCCACCCATTGGACATGTAAGGCAGAGAAGTGGATGTGAGACAAAGGCAGCATGTTGAAGTGAGACAGTAAAGCAGAGGAGGTTATATCATAATCTGGCTGCATAAATTATGAAGTTTAGGGGGTTTTTTTTGGTTTTTTTTTGGGTTTTTTTGTTTTGTTTTGTTTTTTGTTTTTTGGGTTTTTTTTTTTCTTCTTATATATGGGTTTCATTCTCTGAAGGGACAGTAGCATACGTGTCTACCAGCCCATCTTTTCCCTCTTATACACGACATGCCATACCCCTGTATTCCCCTTTCTAGGCACCAGGTGGTGTTCCTCCATGGGGATGCTGCCTAGCGGGAACCATTTAACCTGAAGAGAGATGGGCTTAGAGCCACAGGCAGCACAGGGAGGGCACCATGCGATGACTGTGGGAAGAGGACACTGGCTGCCTGGGAGCTCCTGCCTGTTGCTGGAAGGAGACTGTTGCAGGAGATGGAAAGGACCTGAGGAGGGTGAGAGTGAGCTCAAAATACATCTTTACAGATCTTGTTGGGCTGATTAGTTAATGTCTGGAGAACAGGATTTTAATAAGATGTTGCACTTGCATGGATAAGAAGCTTTTTTCTTGGATGATCTTGAAGAGCTGTGTAGCTGGCAGCCTGCTAGTCCTGGCAGCTGTCTGGGTCCCAGCAGGGGTCCTTCTGCCACCACCGGGAAATTTCAAGGGTACTGTGCAGCCTCCTGCTATTTTATGCTGAGAAGTAGCTCCTGCAGACACCACAGTAGAAGTTACAGCTCTGAAAAATAAAGGACAGAATATTAATGTCTCCTTCTTAAGTTTAAGTAGGGACTCTATCAGGTGACTGCAATATGGACAAAGATTCCCAAGGACTGTTCCAGCTGGGTGCCTTGAACAGTCTGTGGAGGCAGGAGGAGCTGAGGGTGGTTCAAGGTCCTGCTTGACATGCTGGAGCAGTCATCTGCAGCTCAGGATAGACTCTACACAGCTGAAGCCATATAGGCACGTGTTAAGCCCAGAAATACACTGTCCTTGGGAGGAAGGTGTTGGAAAAAGAAGTGGCAGGGAGGAAAATCACAGACAACTGGTCCATTGCCTTCAGGCAAGAGGGGCCCTTCAAAAAGTCATGCACTTCTGACATTTCCTTCAGATTTTATATTAAATCCCATAATATCTGGTCTTTGTCATAAAACTGTATGTCACAGCCTGTACTTAAGGAAATCTTTTATCATCTCTAAAGATAGCCTCCACCTTTCAGAAGAAGCACAAAGCCCAGAAATCCTAAAACTACAAATGCAAAAAAGCAAAATAAAACCAGATCTCATGATATAGCTGGTGGCCATTTTTTATGACAGTGTCAGGCTGTCAACCTATTCCTTACGTGGACCTCACCTTCAGCTCAGAAGTTTCAAAATTGTCTTCTCCCCTATTGCCACTGAGGAAAAAAAGCCTTCACAAATCTTCTCCGTAGTTATGAACTGCGAACTTAGCATGTTTGAATTAAGGGAAATATTCCTCATAATGAATTACCATGAAACATTCATGCTTGTTCATCATGTCACTTGATGAACATGGTTTACGTAGATTTTTACACGGAATAGCACAAGACAATAATGTGCAGGCCTTGGGCAGCACCTTCCATGGATGATATGGGCTGCTTCTGTGCTAAGATCTGTAACAGAGGACTCCAACATGCTTAGATGCTCCCATTTAGCTGTCTTTCTGCTAAACTCATGAAGGAAGCCAGTGGTTCAAGTATGGAGTGTATCCTAGGCAGCTAATGAGATGTCCTGCATTTCCAGGGCAGGCAGTAAGTTGCAAGTGTAGTCCAGATCCCTTGCAGAATGGGAGCCCAGGGCTGTGGAAGGATGGACTGTAGGAGAATAGAGATAGTGCTGAAGGCAATCTCACCCCTGAGGAGTTTCAGCTGTGCTAATTACCAAGATTAGGAATAGCCCTTAATGGGGTGCAGCTGTGGCCAATAAGGATGGGTGTTATAAAAGAGTGGGTTAGCTGGCTGGGAGGAGAGTTCGTGTCTGGTAGTTGTGCTGTTGTGAGGGTCAGGTGGTTGTGATAGGGATAGTAAGGGTCAGTATGTCTGCTAGGGACAGGAAGACGCCTGCCAGCCGTGTGGAAGAGAGAGAAAAGGAGTCAGTGTTGTGAGGAGCTGCCCGTGGGAACTCACAGAGAGAAGGTATGAAAGTCTTATGGTAAGATAATAAACTAATGGTGACAGTCAGTTCCTATCCACCGTCGATTGGTGCCAAGCACCAATGCCAATGACTGGTGGCCCATATGGGGATGAGTTCTGACACAGGACTGTGACTGTCCTCTGCTGACTAACAGGTAATGGTGATCTAATGTCCTATGGTGCATGGTCTCTGGTCCTTCTTCCCACAAAGCATGCATATCTTGTGCTCCATATAATATTTTTTCCTGTGTACTTCCAAGGACTAGGCTTTTCCACAATACAAGGGAAAAAAAATCACCAACCAACAGCTATACATTTAAAAACTCATCAAAGATAGTGTTCATTTTTTGTGTCATTTTATGATTTATTACTTAAGTACTCTTTTACTCTGATTTTTGCATTTCATATTTTTCCTGCACTGTAAAGTTTGGGAGTCATTCTTTAGTTTTGGTGTCTGTAAGTAGAATTAGACACCTGACACAAGTCTATCAAACAGCTACTAGCATCAAGGGATTTATGGGATAAAGGAATCCTGAAGCTATACATAAAAACATCAAATGGCTGATCTGGTAAAGTATACCCTGACTTAAGGGGAAACATAATAAAACTCTTCAGAGCCTAGAGAATGGCTAGGCATGAATTATGCTGATATATGTCCGCATTACTTTTTTTATTAAGAAAGATAAGGATAAAACAGGAAAATCAATCATATTCAAGCAATCCAGAACTGCCAAATACATCTACAACTGCATTAGGCAAACATTTTTATTCATTTATGTAGACAAATACTTTGTCTTGGTCATAAACAAAATAAAATGTGTGGTTTTATCACTGGCCTGTTTAAGCTTTGCTACAGACATAATGGAACAAAATGGCACAATAGCCTAAGGCTGAGCATTTTGTCTGAGGAACCAGTACTTTCTCTTTTTTGTGCCTGAGTGAATATTTCTCTTGGGAGGAAAGCATTCTTTTACCTAAAAATAAAATATTTCTCAGTGTTTTGGCTTTGATTTTAGTGCTGAACATATTTTTGGAAGAATGCAGTTAAAGAACTGTTCTGGAAACAAAACTAAAGTCTAACCTTTGAAAGCTTAGTAATTTGAAACGCAAAAATCTAAATCTGTAGTATCCTTCTGTGTAGCTGAGGTGTTTTCTACCAGAAGTCTTTAACAAAAACAACCCCTGAATCTTGCCACTTGAAAAACATATCATGCAACCCTACCTTAGTTATGGAATTTAATCTATTTCTAGAGGGACCTGTGCTATATCTTTCCACAGTTCACTAGGATTCTGCTTCTTATTCAAGAACACTTACTGAACCAAAGAAATCTATGTTTGGCTCAAACTAATTAAACTTGTGAGGATTTACGAACATCAGTCAAAATTTTGCCAGCGAAATATTCAATGGGATACACTGTAGAAGCTCAAACCTCTCCCTGCAAATTTGAACAGCTTTCCTTGGATCTCCAGCTAGGAGCATGAGGCTTAGGGGATATCTTTGATTTAAATAGGGATTTTCAGAGCACAAAATGGAAACAAAATGCTTAGGGACCAAAATGTTTTGCAAATTTTTCCTAGTAGGCTGTGCTGAATATCTAAAAGTATTAACAGCTGAACAGATTATCAGTTTACGGATGGAAAGCTGAGGTATGTTAACCTGGCCTGTTTATGCACTCCTGACTTGGTGTCATAGTAAAGCAAAACATATTAAACTATGCTAAATATATGGGATTTATTCCTTAGTTGCAATGAGTCAGAATAATGCAGATGGTTAGTTAAAATCTTTCTGGGGATGAGTCAGCTTCTCAGACCACAGTAACTCAGTTATTTGCAGTTAACTTTAATGCCTGCTGTGGTCTGACTGTACCCTTGCTAAACAATAAAACCCCAAGAGTCTTAATTTTCCATTCCCTGAGCATTAATATTGCACCTGGCACCACACACACACCTGGGTGTAACACAGCCCAAGAATGCTCTTCAGAGCCTACATGTCATACAACCATTTCCATTCCTATGTCCTTTCATGAATCTTGGGTGAGGTGGGAGGATTTCAGTCTGGCAAATTGGTGTATTTTTATCTCGGCTCTGCGTCAGCCTGCAAAGCTGTGAATGTATTTAAGGATTAGTGACCCACTGAGCAGAGAATGTGGAACTGGCTCCTCTCTGAGCCTGCACGGTGCTCACCAGCAGATGCCTTGTGCTGGTGAATGTCATGCAGACTCGGAGAGGAGAGTCAGTTCCATGAACACAAGCATGGCCAGCCCATCTGTTACAGGATTCAGGCTCTTTGGGTTAAATCTGCTTCCTTCATGTAACTTGAGCTTCTGCTGGGTACAATCCTTATTAGTGGATCCCTAACTTAATAAAACTCAGACTGGCTCTGTTAGGATGAAAATATGTACTGAGCTGCAATTTTTTAAAACTGCATTATTGCTGATACTGCTCTTGAACTTCTTCTGCATGTTCTACCTCCCACATGGTTTGCTGAGGGGTAAGAGATGCTCAGAGCATGATGGACAGCAGGTTCCAGAGGGTGAGCCTAATCCTGCTCAGGATGAAACCCACAAGTTGTGATGTAGGGCCACTAGAAGCCTTGCACCTTAACAGTGAGGCATCTGGAACTGGGTTGGGACAGGCTAGAATGTTAGATGACTGTATTCAGAGAAGTGAATTGAACAGAAGATACTTCTGCCTTCAGAAGAATGTGGTGTCATTATGACTCTTTCAGTGGTAGGCTCTGTAGGAGATATGAATTATGTCAGAAGCTGTAGCACTTACTGAAGCCCTAGTATTCAGTGGTGCATGCTATCAGACACTCCACTTTCTAGTGAAGAGAGTTCCCTACCTCTGAAATGAGCAGAAAATGTCCAACCCAAGCAGCTGGTCAGAGGTAAAAAGTTTCTTTCAGAGAGCAGGAAAAGGAGTTTCAGAGGAAACTATAGATCCAATCTGGCAGGCAAACTTTTACAAATATAGACCAATATGTGTGTCTGCATGTTTTACTTGAGCATTTGCCTTGACTTGAGGTAGAGGCCATACAACACAGAACTCAACCTTCCATCAAACCCAGTATTTTTGAGTAAAGCCACTGCAATTGCTGGCTGCTCTGCCTGTGTTAGGTGACAGTCAGCATGGAGGGGTGAAGGATGTCACTGATAGGATGCTACTGAAGATCCCAGTCTTCTCTAAGGAGAGATGTAGTGTTCTCACCATAACTAAATGTAGTTGTGATGAACTACAAGACTCTGGAGTAAATATTTACAGGCAATTTGGCATTCCCCTTAGCAAGTTCATCTTACGCTGCATTTGCACCTGCTGTGTCTTTAGTTATGCCTAAACTTGAACAGCTAATGAGCTGTACATTTTCAGTTTAAAAGGACTGATGGTGTCATTCTGACAATGTATTTATTGCCAACTTCTTCCTCCATCAGCAATCACAGAATGGGTCAGGTTAGAAGGTTCCACAGTGGGTCATCTGGTCCAACCTCCCTGCTAAAGCAAGGTCATTCTAGAACACATGGCACAGGATTGTCTAGATACTTCTTGAATCTTCCATCAAGAGTAGCTACCTCTGTAACAATCTGTAT